AATGCATTCAATCACCAACATTAAAAATCACAACAACACATGTTTGTAAATAGCCTCAGGCACTTTTCTTTAAATTTACTTCTTCTCTTCTCAAACTTTCCAATGGTAGCACACATAGGATGAAACTTGGTACGTATGCCTTATATATCATTTCCCATTACGATTACATGTTTCCATGACAACCGCATATTGGGTGAAAAAGTCTCAGGCAATATACTTTAATAACTCCCAAAACTTGCTAACTGTAGCACGCATGGAGGTGAAAACTTGGTGCGCATGTGTATTACCATGACGACCACAACAACAAATAGCCTCGGCCACTTTTGTTTAAAATTCCTTCTTCACTTCTTAAACTTGCTAACGGTACCACACATGGAGATGAAACTTGGTACGCATGTGTGGAACATCGTTTCTATGACGACCACAACAACAAATAGTCTCAGGCACTTTAAAATTACTTCTTCACTCCTAAACTTGCTAACTATACAACGCATTGAGGTGAAACTTGGTGCGCATGTGTATTACATCGTTTCCATGACAACTACAACAACAAATAGCCTCAGGCACCTTTTTAAAAATTACTTCTTCACTCCTCAAACTTGTTAACTGTAGCATGCATGGAAGTGAAACTTGGTGCGCATGTTTATTACATCGTTTCTATGATGACCACAACAACAAACAGCCTCAGGCACTTTTCTTTAAAATTCTTCGCTCCTCAAACTTGCTAACGGCAGCACACATGGAGATGAAACATGGTATGCATATCATTTCCGCGACGACGACAACAGGCATTTCTTCTCTATTAAAAATTTTGCTTGCCCCCTTCCACAGAGAAAATACGTAGTAGTATATAAAAATTAGTGGAGACAAGTAAATTAAAAATCATGCGAAATCAAAAAAGAGGCATAGAGGGATGGTATAAAAAGAAAGGGAGACAAGATAGGGATGGGATACATGAAGCATGGTTAATGAACAGATTTGAGTATGCTGACACCCCGAACCCCATCACACAATCCCTATATTGTTGCTTAGGTGAACACTCACCATTACAGTACTCAGAACTTACAATACGCTTCTGAGTAACTAACACCCTTAAGAGTCCAAGTGGAGTTAAATTAAAGGGAATGTGGCAGTATAAATGTTACTAAAAACAACAAGGACACGATGAAAGAATGCTTGCTTTTAGTAACCTTTAGCCCCTATAAGAGTAGCGCACCAGGCAACAATATAGGGATTGTGTGATGGGGTTGGGGGTCTCAGCGTACTCAAATCTGTTCATTAACCATGCTTCATGTATCCCATCCCTATCTTGTCTCCCTTTCTTCTTATAACATCCCTATATGCCTCTTTTTTTTATTTACTTGTACAAGTAGGAACACTACATACTGAGCATGTTAGATGTATGGGATTATTCAGTTTTGTTCGTTATCCTCTTCTTCAAAAACGAAAAGCTAAAAAAAGAAATAACGTGTACACATAAAAAATTTTTGAGGGAACATAATAAAAAAGATACAGAGGGTTTTCCTTATTTCGTTATTTTTTAAAGGCACTAAAGAGCAAACCCTCGGCGTCTCGCAGTTGCATGGTATCCCTAGTTGATGGGCTTGGCTATCAGTATGCATTTACTCGTGGTCTACAAAGTAGCTCGGTGAGTCTCACACAAGACAGCTACACTATGCGTGAGTCGATACACGCCAACCTTTGTGACTTCTAATGCCTCAAAAGTACACAGAGCATGTGAATCAGTTCGGGGTAAGCCAGTGCGATTACACAAATTTGCTTTTTCGCCTATTTACGGCATATCACTTGAATGAAGTCGTTCCAGGAAAATCCACATTATAACTTGTGTGGTTAGTAGGCCGTTGGTATCACTTAGGACACCTTGTAGTTCAAGAATTACAGCAGACAGGCAGACAGACACACACAGACCAATTATTGTAACCCTCGCTATGCATGCATGCTGAGGGTTAAACAAATGGCCTCAAGCATTACATTATAACACCTGTGTTAGTCTAACTTAAAAACCGTAAACACTTTGTGATGAACGCTTGTTACGTCATTTATTCCATTAAACGATTCCAAAAAACATAATTTGTAAAAAACAACAATACCATCAGTGAAAGTATTTAATTTTTCATTAAAACTGGCAAATAGCAATGCACACGAAAATGAAAAGCACTGAAGTGCAAACCTTCCGCGCATTGTGACGCGCACACGTAAGTAAACGCATGCGCCATACCACTAATTGATAGGCTGGGTTTAGTTTCAGTTGTTACTCGTGGTCTCTTGCCAGCTCGCGCAGAGTCTGACGTGGGCTAACTACACTACTAGATAGCATGCGAGAGGCGATACACGCCCTGCGTTGCATCTTCTGGTGCCTCCGAGGTACACAGAGCACGTGGATCGATCAGACCGTTGGAAGCCGTCCCGTCCGTTGTGTGGCTTTTTCGCGCTCTAGGTTTGCAACGGAGAAGTTTCAGAGAAAACCGTTCGATATTTCTCACCTTCATTGCCCGTTACGTAAGTCGTATCCTTTGTGAGACGAACAAATACTTGAGAAGTGAGATGTAGAGTAACAGACACACACACACAGACCCAACTACCGTACCTTCACTGCGCATGCACGCCGAGGGTAATAAACGCCCGGGCGTTCATTTTAACGTTTCTGGACCCGACGTTTTAAGTACGTATTGAGACCAGCATATATTATTCTACGTGCACGGAGCCACGCCTTCTCCCGCACTCGAATTTGGCTCAATGAGGCAACGTGTACCAGTACATCTGCCGAGCAGTCAACACAATACTGCCAAGTACTGTGTAGTTTCTATTTTCCACCAGATATGCGTGTAAGTTACATCATAAGAGTGACTTTACGGTTGTAGTGGTAGGGGACCATTTAAGATTCGCCCTTATTGCGTGGGTGTCGATATTTTAGTTATTAGCATTGCTAAAACGTTCTTGAATTATATTGAATTTTGGTACCTTTCTCGGATTTTTCACTCCTTGTTTTACAAGCTCATTAGAATACTCACATTCCTCGTCCATTCATTCTCTATTGGAGAGAAAACCAGTGTGCGACTTCACCAGGAGCAAATGGTCCGTCTCCACTATGCGCAGTAGTGTTCTTTCCACCTCCTACGATACGTGCAGGCATATTAAAGTGTACCGTAAAGCGTACCGTAGGAGGCGGAGAAAGCCACTGCGCATAGTGGAGACAGACTTTTCGCTCCTGGTGAAGTCGCGCCCTGGTTTTCTCTCCAATACTTCTCTCCAATAGAGATTGTATGGAGGAGAAATATGAATATGCTAATGAGCTTGTAAAGAAAAATCCGAGAAAGGTATACCAAACGAGCGTTTTAGCAATTAAAATATCGACGCCCACACAATAAGGGTGAATCTTAACGATTGCAACTACGCGCAGAGTGTAGTGCCCTTTTTCAGCACCCGGCGTGTTTATTCCTCGCACGATGTGGCATTATCATTTCCATGATCATCAGATGTTTGTAAACAACAACTAACAGCCTCAGGCACATGGTTAATGGACAGATATAAAAAGGTAGACAAGATAGGAATAGGATACATGATGCATGGTTAATGAGCAGATGTGAGCACACTTGCACCCCTGACCCGATCACACAATCCCTGGTGTGCCACTCTTACTAATTTTGGACCCAATATTGGTGTTGGTTTCTGATCAGTAGCATTACTTGTATGTATGCTCGAGCTCTAGGTACTGACTATTGCAATGGTGAAAGTTTAATACTGCACCTAGGCAACAATGTAGTGATTGCGTGATCAGGTCAGGGGTGCCAGCGTGCTCACATTTGCTCATTAACCAAGCATCATGTACCCCATTATTATCTTCTTGTCTACCTTCTTTATACCATCCCTATATGCCTCATTTTTTAAATTCACAGCATTTACAATTTATTTGTCTCTAACTACTGCTATCACAAGTACTCGTGTAAATGTTCCTCCACACTAGCCCTATTTTGTCGCCACTTTTACTCACAACATGAATTTTGTTTAGTGTGAGGATAATGGTAAAGGGATTCTCTGGAGGGCCACAAACACAGCACTGTAAAACTGAAACTCATCATTAGTTGAGCGAACATAGAAGCTCAGGTATTCATGGCTTCTGAAGTTCAATACAAGACACTAGAGCCTTGTTGACAAGAACCTTGTATCACTTGGATCAGACGACTTGGTAAATGAACCATCACTTTCTGGGTCTGGGAGCTCATGAATGGAGTACTCACTTGAGCTCATACACTGATCTCCAACAGAAGCAGACATCGGTGTACGCGCCTCCGGGATGTTGGTGGTAAAAACAGTGTCCTTCTCTTCAAAGCCTTCTTTCCACGCTCTGTGTTGTGTTCCGTAGGGGATACAAATTTCCGACCGAATGTAAGTGACAGCTTTTGAGATTGATCTCCATTTGGTTACTCTTTGCGGGACAACTTGGGATGCGATATATTGAGATGGAATCACAATCACCCTTCTTTTTTGTCCGCTTCCAAACGATACACGATGTACCAGTCATGCTATACAAGTCCCACACACCTTTTTTGCTTTTATTTGGACTTTTAACCGGTTTCTCTATATACATGTTAAGGACACACTTTGGGGGAAAAACTGCTGCTCCATGACCTGCGACATTGAAAAGTGGTACACTGTCCAACCTGTACTTGTGCCTGCTCGCTAAGAGTCAGTCAATAAACGGTCTGAAGGCGACACTCTTTACAGTATTCTCGCCTCCGAGAGCTTGCTTTCTCTAGACTCCGACACGCACCGGCCGTGGAACAAACGCCAAAAGCACGTTTAAAATTTATTTGAGTCTACGTGACTAACATCTCTTTAATACCCGAATCTACTTAGTATTAGCAATTAAATAGGACACAAAATTACATTTTCACAAAGACCCACACTAGGAAAAACACAAAAAGACACACAAAAAGTACAGTTATGCCAGAGCATGGAATTAAAATTTATTAGAGCACCTGATATAGGCAATCCATTTTCTTCTGTCTTTGCTCAAGTTGCGCTTCATTAAGAAGACTAATGACCTATGAAGTCATGAAGAACCATAATTTTAAAGATTATAATGGTTTTAGCATGGCTAAAACACTTAAGTTTTTTGCACTCTATTTATATTAGCATATTATTCATACACATTGTGTTAGGAGAAAACACTTGTTCGTAAATTAATTCACCCGCTGTGTACGGTACTGGCGTTCATTCTGCCTTCTGCTTTAAAAGCAGCCAGTTTGTAAAACTGATGTTACCATATTCTGAGTACTATTGTATATTGTTGCATGTAAAGACATGCGGCTAAGGAAAGGAAGTTAGCATGGCGATTTAAAACCCTTTACGCACCGAACACAGCATGCACGCTTGTCAACCACGCCACGGCTCCGCACGCTGGTCTGGTCTGCTCTACCTCTCTCTAAAGCTTATACTGTCGTGCTCTCTAACGCCTATACACCGGGCAACCGCGCCACACGTAGTACAGTTAGCCTCGTTCCCAGTCCGTTAATGAAAAGGGCCTGGAAGCGAGGCTAGTAGTATACGGCAATACATACTCGTTTCAATCTACCACTCAGGTAAGCAGGTGGCGGAGCCTGTAGACACACCAGTCTGCTTTGCAAGTTGCACTTTGCAATGCTTGTTCAATCAAAAAAAACAACTAATGATGATGTTGTTCAGTTCCACAAGCCTAGGTGGAACGATTGTACGAAAGGTTAGACAACATTTAACAGCTACAATACTCTTTATTAGACGTCGGCAGATTCAAATTGACCAATCAGACTTCGTAAATCGTGGTACGTGGACCACGCAGATATTGCAAGCTATTCAGAGTTGCATGAGGAAGGTGAGGTTGAAATATCAACGGTGTATGGCTGCTCCAACAGCAAAATTTAGTAGCAATTACGCAATGACTTCCACATTTCCAGAGGTGTGGCTTCATTACGTACAACCATAAAAGCCCCACAATTCCTTGCAACCTCGGCCTTTGGATTAGCCCCTCATACTGCATGGTCTTTCTCCTCACCTGTTGCAAAATAACCCAACCCCTTAGGTTATACTCCTCATGTTTCACCCTTACTTAAACACAGGGAGGGTGGGAGGGACCGTTGATATTTCAACCTCATCTTCCTCGTACAACTCTGAATAGCTTGCAACCACTGAATATCTTACAACCACACAACGGTATTTCGGAAGGCTCGGTCTCCATATCAACGGTGTTGTTTGTAGCAAGCCTTCGTGGCTTTCCCCATGGGTTCCCTTTGCTAAGCTCAAGAGCTTCGCACTTTCATTACTCAAGGATCAAGAGCTCCGCTATCCCTTCTCAACGAGACCACTCAGTGCCTAGTATCAATGCTAGAGAGCACCGCTCTCTCAAATTTGGGATCTTCTGTTGCCTCTAAAAAACATACTCAGAACTCCAGTCCACAGCCTTTAGTATATCATTAGTCGTAATCCCCAAGTTTGCAGCTGCTGAGGGCGATGCTACTCGTAATGAGTGGGCACTAAACACAGAGGTAGTGTTTTCCCAGGTACATGAACCTCCTTGGTGGGATTTGTGGATTGGGATTGGAAAGTACGCGTCCTTCAGATACACTTTTGCCAACCAATCCTCCGGAATGACTAGGTCTCTCAAGGTATGGATTCCCTCCATCTTGAAATGCTCTGTGTGAACGAAACAGTTCAGAACTTTCAGGTTTATCACTGGTCAATGCCATCCGTCCTTCTTCGGGACAAGGAACAGGTTTGAGGAAAATCCTCAAAAAGGGTTAGGCTTGCGCGCATTATGCCGGCATAAAACTGGGAATAATAGGCAGGTACGAGTTACCAGCATAATGCGGAGGTTAGCACACGAGCAGTTACAATTTTGGTCTCCTGACTCAGCTAGCCAGCCACTCAGGAAGATGTCCATGTCCACCACGGCTTCTTCTTGCACTTCAGAGGCACAGAGAACTATCTACATCTAGCTGCTGACTCGGATGCAGCCTCCGTACTCGTGAATGTACGGGCGCCTCATCTATCTCAGCTAACCCGCAAGTGGAAGATTGACTGCAATCCTCCGCAAGGATGCCGGCGATCACGTGGGAGAGGCACTGGTGACCTGAAGTCGGTGAGCCCAGCCCAGAGAGCGAAACAATTTTCTGACGAACATATTGTGGTATCGAACGGGAAACTCTTTTGCCGCGCCTGTCGCAAGGAGCTTTCCACTAAGCGAAGTGTATTCTACCACGTGAAATTTTAAAAAACATTCAAATGGAAAGCAAGCGCTCAAGGTCTAGCACTACAGGATTATATTGAAACAGCATTAATGAAAAGGGTTAATAGTGTATAAATGTCACAATGTCATTGATTTTAAGTTAGCATAATAGGGGATATGTTGGGAATAATAATCGAGGTGTTTCATGAGAATGGCAGAATAGAACAATAGGCAAATAATGAGGCAAAATGTGCTCAAGCCTGCCAAGGGTTGTGTACTTCTACTATGGCTCCTTTGCCTAGATGTTCCTGTACCACCTCCACTATTAATTGACTTTATTACACAGAGTATTGTGGAGTGTGAGGTCTTGCCCTTTGCAGGGGTTCCCACAGGAAATCTATCTGATTACCTGTTACGGTGTTTAACACCCATCTGCTATCACCTTCCAGGAGCTTATGTGACCTTTCAGTCTTCCTGATGGCTAGGGGTGCGAATATTATGCCAGCATAATTTCGAGCATAATGCTGGCATAATTTCGCACAGTTTGCACGTGACGCATCAAAATGGCTGAACATGACGACAACGAAGAGCCCGGTTGTAGTACTACATCTGAGAGCATAGCATCTGCCAGATTTACCAATGTCTCCAGCGAGGGAGAAGACTCGGGAGGGAGGGGAGAGGCTTCAGGGAGTGCTGGCAGTTCCTGCGCTGAACCAGAGGGCCTGCTCTCTTGGCTCAAGGCAGCTGATCGTTCGGTTCTGTGCCGGAAGAGAAGCATGGCGGCTAATCCACCTCGAAAGAGGTCGAAGAAATTGTGTATGAGATGTTCTACAGATCCATCATCCGTTACACAACTGCGGAGAGTTTTCTCCTTGTTAAAGGCTTTATTTAACGACCGTCAAGATGGACCCCTCCAAGACTATATTGAGGCATCATCGATGCTTTAGTATAACAAGCGTGACTAAGTAGTAGTGACACTTCCTCTTCTGTTCTTGTGTTGGTGTTCTTTCATGATATTGTAATTGCATGTGTAATACTGCGAGCATAATTGGCTACTTATGGAGCATAATCATCTGATTTGTAGAGTATAATAGGGAATAATATCAGCGTCAAAGCATAGCATAATTCCATGATTTTGGAGCATAATATTCTCACCCCTACTGCTGGAGGCAGGTGGTCTGAGTTGGTTTCTATGCCTGGAGTTGACCTTTCCCGCCAGGTATAGCCCGTCTCTGTGTCGGAAGGTCTGGGTTCCACCCCTTCCGAATCGTCGGTTGAAGGGGGGGCACCCAGAAAAAACTGTGGTTTCCGTTCCTGTTTGTTGCTGATGGTGGACGTCATTGCCTTCACCTGTTCCTCCATTTCTTTACTCTTCTTGGCAAACTCTGTGCCGAAGAGAAAAGGTGCCACTTCTTGGTGTTATCATCTCCGACGATTGGGAGAAGAGCCCGGTTCATATCACTCTCTCTCCGGAGGTGTAATAAGTGTGCGTTGGCGTTGCCAATGAGGTGAATGTCCAAGTGAGGTGCATGCCCAAGTTAACCGCCTGGATCACCTCCTGGTGATCCAAAATAACACCTTTATGGTGCGCCTCTAGGATGGCGGTGAGATATGCCAGGGAATCTAGCAGTAACGTCTGCACTTTGGTCAGTTGCTTGTATGCTACTTTGGGGGCAGCGGAAGTCTCCAACTTCACCCTGGGGTCCAGCTGTGCTGGTCTAGTTTCTCGAACCTTGGGCAGAGGGAATTTTTCCCTTATTTCCCTTCTTTCGGAATTAGGCACTCTCAAATTTTCCTGTCCTCTCCGACACCTCCGTCAGTTTGGTGTGAGACCGATCCTTGGTCTCAGAATCGCTAAAATGCACCTCCACCATAGCTTCGGACTGAGTGAGACATTCAGTCAGCCCAGGACTTGCGGCAGTGATGAGCGGGCGATTTTACCTTGCTCGGCAGGGAGAGCGTGATCCCCAATTCACCGAGTCGTCGTGGCCACTTGTCCTTGGCTTTCGACCTTTCCGTCTGTGTCGGGGATTCGGTGATCGCGATTGCGACGATTCTTCATCGCTCAATGTAGATGGGGTTCAGCCGTCTACGAACGTCGGAGCGCCTCCCACGGCGGTGATGGCGAGCTTTCCACCAGTGGTATTCTCAAGCCTCGGTCGTGTTCCCATCTGGGGTAACTGGGGCTGTGTGCGTGCCTTCGCCATCGTTGCGCCTTGTCGAGGTCCCGTATCTACTAGCTGGCACTCTGGCAAGCCTCGTTTTCCTTCAGGGTGTTCACCTCGGGATACAGGTGGTCGAAACGCTCCAGCAAGGTCTTCAGGAGCATCATGGGGTCATTACCACATTAAGCACCGTTTCGAACGTTGTATAAACACACGGGACATTCACTTCGAGCTAAGATAAAGGCCGAGGTTGCAAGGAATTGTGGGGTTGTAAGTAATGAAGCCACACCCGCGGAAAAGTGGAAGTCATTATGTAATTGCTACTGCTACTAAATTTATCTATTGGAGCAGGAAACCTGGCCATACACTGTTGATATGGAGACCGAGCCTTCCGAAATACAATTGTGGTTATTGCTATGTCATGACTGATCAAGAGGCTATCAACTGTTTGCCATGTCTAAAGACAACAGTTAATAATTAACCCTCGGCGCGCATGCGCAGCCAGGATTACAGTAGTTGGTTTGTCTGCCTGTGTGTGTGTGTGTGTGTGTGTGTGTGTGTCGACGCTTATTCTGGCACTACAGGCTACGAGGTGGCCAATGAGCGATACCAACGGCTTCAGAACTACGGGAACCTAAGTTACATGAAACAAGAGATATGCCATGAAAACAAGCGAAAA